TCGGGGGGGCGACGTGAGCAGGGAGGCAGGCCGGCACGTAGCCTGCGTGGCAAGGCGAGTGGATCAGAGGGGGGCTGGGGGTGCACACGCAGGGAGGATGCTGAGCCCCACAGAACGGGGCAGGAGGGGGAGGAGTGCCGGAAATGGCAGCATCAGGCTAAAGGCCAAGTTCCTGGCACCCGACATCCCATGGAATTCAACGGCAGCCCGTGCGAACCCGCATAGCGCAGAGCCGCTGCTGCTCAGAAAGGCCCCAGCGAAGGGCCAGCCCCACTCCCTGTTAGCATTCCTCACATGCAGCCTGCCACACTGGGGACACAACGTGGCGAGGTGCATGTCTGGGGGTGGCTGTTTCTTAATTCTCCCCTGTGCCAGTCCTTGCTGCCCTCCTCTTGATCGTAGCCCACCTGCCTCCTTTGGTGCATGGCCCGCAAACGTCTACCCTGAGGCCATAGCAGCCTCTGAGCCCAGTCCCCTCACTCCTATCGGGCCGAATCTCTGCACCTCCCTTAGCTGCTGTCCCACGACTTGTCCATGCCTTCCGATCCAAGTCTCTGGGACAAAGCGGGCGTGTGTCTAAGGGGCTAGGAGAGCCGTTTCCATCTGAGCGTGAAGACAATTATTGAAAACTACTGATCTCAAGGTCTGTCAGAACAGAGAACAAAGCACTAGGCTTCCAAATCAGACATACCCACAGTTGTTCACAGCCATGAGGTCTCCCACCAGAAGGAAGGGATACGTCAGCATGCTCACAGCAATCTGAAACCAAGAATCACCAAACCTGAGCGGCTCCCTTCCACAACAGGACGGGGTGGAAGTGCCTAACACACTTTGGGTGCTGTAAAAAACCAACAAATTAAGCACAAACCATCGGGCAGCAGCTAACCGCTGCAGTGACAAAAGCTAGTGGCTGCAGATAGTTTTGTGCGTTTCTGTGCTAGTATTCGACAGGCTGGGAGCAGACGTTCCTCGCAGGCCCATCTTCTCGCCTCTTTCCCCCTCCAGAGCTGCCACATTATTGGCTTGACTGTTACACAAGAAGAGGAAAACGCAGTGGTGCTGCATGTCAAAGTCAGAAGAGGTGTGGGGTCATCTTGTTACCCATCAGCCTCTGCCGTCCCATGCTGGGCTCTGAGATCACGTATCTCAGCACTATCGCCTGCCCATTCTGATTTACACACTGGACTATTTACAGAAGTGATGAGCACTCACAGCTCCACCTAAGTCACTGGGACCTCGGCGTCCGATGGGCCCTTACACCAAGTGACCTAGAAAGAGGCAGGAGACACCCATACACAGTGCACGCATGCCTGCTCGTAGCCTGGCAGTGCCCCCCAGGGAATGCAAGAAGTGGCGTCTACATACCCCCATCACGAACTTCGTGTAGCTCCTGATCACAGATGCCTGGCTAAACTGCAATGGAGAGGAAAGACGAAGCCAGTGAGGTCACGGAAAAGGCAGCTGATATCAACATCTCATTGTGTCATGAACCCCACACAAGAGCATTAGCCCGAGGGGCTAGTGTCTGAACAAGAGCAAGTCAAGTAAGCGGCAGAAAAGCAGAGGTAGCCATGATATGGCACAGGCCTGGCACACCCAAGAAAGGAGCATGGTGTTAACAGATGGATAAGGGGATACGGAGGGCTGGGGGGCAGGAACAGTTCAGCCAACCTGTTTTAATGATTGGCTCTTTCATCATGCTTTTGTCTTACCCTGAAACCTCCTTGCTGTGCGCATGCTGTAACAGCGGAAAACTGGCAAACCCACTCGTAGGCCTGTTTCCAGGAGGGTATTTTCGGGAGGGAGGAGCAAGAATGGGGGCGCTGAGCATTCAAGTCAACAGACCCAACAAGCCCAATGGCTTTAGGCCAAACTGAAAAGGGTCCATTTTCTAGTTCACATGCCGCTGAGCTTGTGATGGTCACGCCAGTTTAGGCTAAAGATTTGGAACTACAGAGGCTGAAGCCAAACTCCAGACGCAATTCATCCCTGAGCCTGACTCCTTCCCCTCCAACGCTCAACCTAGCGCGGAGCGGGACTGAACGGACGCCTGCTAGGGCCTGAGCCACATTCTGCCGATTTCTATGCCCCCTGCTTTACGCTAACGCCTCTAGTTTCGGGTCCCACTACAAGCCCTCTGATGCTGGAGCATGAGCAGCGATGGGCAACCTGCGGCCCATGGGCGATCCATCAGGGTTCTGCGTGTGGCCCATGAGACGCTGCCTTTGCCGTTGCTCACACAGGGCTGCCAGATTTTGCTGGGTTTTGTCCACATGGTTGTTTCCCTCCCAGTGTTACTAACTGACACGAAGCCAGGGCCCGTGCAGGGAGGTGGGTGCTGACTGCACACAGCACTGACTGTGAGAGCCAATCAGAGCACGGCCACGGGTCGGTCAGCACAGCCCGCACGTTCTAGGCACGCCTGCGCCGCGAGCCAGCTGCCCAGTCCCGGGAGAGCGGCTTGTTATGACCATCGTGCGGCCCAGCGAGGTGAAGGAGAGCCACTGGCATGGCCCACACACTGGCATGGCCCACACACTGGCCTCAGCTACTTCTCTCTGCGCTAGAGTCAAAGTCCCCGGCTGCTCCAGGCTAACAGCATCCCACTCACACTGTCGTCCACGGCGTAGGTGTTGATGAAATGAGCCAGGATGTTACAGCACCACAGGAAGACGACGTCTCCCAGGATGTGAGGGACTAAGCCGCTGAAAGAACAAGGACACGAATGTGAGGCAGCGCCTCCTGAGCTGCCGCCAGGATCCCATGCTGGGACTCTGGAAGCCAGACTGGATTGCAGTTGCATATTGCCGATTACATGGGCCAAACAGAGAGCCCTGGAAACAGGAGTCCCAGAGCAGGAATAGCTCAGGTAGCGACAATGAAACCTTCCCCGGCCTCCCCCACTAAGCCACGGAAACGGGCCCCTGCCCAACCAGCTGTCACATCTGCACCACACGTCTCCAGCCCTCGGCCGCCTGGCAGAGCGGCGAGGGAGTGAGGCCGTGGGCTGGCCCACAGCAGGACAGCTAAGAGGTTAATCATCCCGGGGAAACAAGCGACAACCCTGGACAGCGTCACGCTAGGAAAGGTCTGCAGCTGCAGGGAATGGACTGAGACAAGCTAACAGATGTTGGCCATGGAAGGCTCCTACCATGTGAATCAGGCCGAGATCTACCAGATCATCTCAGCCCACCAAACAGCAGCCGCATGACGCCTTTTGGCCACTACCCAAGCGAGAGTGGAGCTGAACAAGTAAAAGGCTTCCACCCCCACGATCCACCCCCCTTCTTCACCACGGGCCGTCTCCTTGCTTCATCGCTGCTTTGAAGTCTCAGCAAGATTCTTTGCCTGACCATCCCCTGCTGTGAGTTTGTCTGTCTGCGTGTCCTAAGAGGGCCTTGTGCAAAGGCTGAGAAGGTGGGAGAAACTATTTCCCCTCCAGCGTTATCTGTCCCCGCTCACCCCGCCACCTACACTATGTGAAGACAGGCCGTTTGCAGCCCTCTTTCGCCGCAAAGGGTCATTAAAGGCTCTTTCGAAACTACCCTGTGTCTGGGCAAAGCCAGCTTTACCCAGGGAGGTGGGGGCACCACCAGTGAAGTGCTGCAGCCACTGGAAACATCCCTCTTGAACCAGGGGGTTTCAGACTCCGAGCGCAGCTCATGAGGGCAAGCCACTAGCTGCGGCTGAGACGCTTTGCTCCTCTGCAGCTCCTGTTGGCCGTGGATCGTGGTGCAGACTGGGACACTGCTCCCATTGGCCGGGAACAGCGATCCACAGCCAGCGGGAGCTGCACTTGCCCGTGCCGGCAGAGGCGCAGGTGAACAAAGCACCTCATGGCCAGCTAGCAGCTCGCCCTCACAAGCCGCAACCCAGTGGGGAAGAACTGGGAGTTTCTCATTTTCCTGAGTGGGCCAACGTCACGGCAGAACTACCACGGACTCGGTTTCTAACAGCACTTAGCAATGAATGAGGCTGGGGGGTAAATTGCCTTATTTGTCCATCAGCGTATCCACCAGAACAGCCACTTAGTTCATTTACGCTTCCCCTGCAGAGCAGGACACAACCCGGTGCTTTGGCCAAGGCCCCCCCCACCGCTTGCTCACACTTTTATTCCTCCGCGGCAAAGGCTCTGGAGTTTAGTTTAGTTACCAGAATAGTCCTCCCAGAGTTAGAACATTTATGGTAAATTAAGCGTGAGGGTTTCCAGAGCTTGGCAGAGCCTTCTCTGGCCCTTTCGTTCCTGTTCCACCCACCCCTCCAAACACTTCTCTAGAAAGGAAAAAAACCCCAAACCCGATTTCCTGTTCCATTTGGTGAAGCAAACTAAACTTGATCAGAGCAACGTGGTTCAGTCCCTCTCCTCGAGAGCAATGGTTGGCTTTTATGCTTTCAAGGGAATCTTGTGCTGTGAACGGCTGCACAGCTTGGAAGACGCCAATTCATTTTGCCAGGGAAATGATGCAGGCAGGGATCTAGATCTGTGGATGTGTCATACAGCGAAGTAGCACACACGGGATATGCCAGAGAAAGTGAAGGCTCTAATTCTTCAGATAGGTTGGTCCTGATTTATAGTTTTAAAATATTCATAACATAATTCACAAGAAACATTGGAAGCCAGCGCCCCGAATACCTGCAAATACAATGCAATTATGCCGGGGGGCAACAGGAATTAAGCGCATCATCAGACCCAGTCTTTCCAGAAGTTCAACATGTGCTTTCCTGACAGCATCCAACAGAGCGGGCCTCTCCCCACATCAGACCAACATCACTAGCAGTTAATAACTGGTTAGGGAGCATGTCGGATCAGATAGCAGGCCTTAACACAGCACAGACAATTCCCGCACCCAAAATCCCCTCCTGCAGTTTCAATGAGAGAGTTCGCTATGATTTGATGCAAGAGAGAAAGTGACTTCTCTAACTGTGGCTAACAGAAGCAGCAAGTGGCCTGTTTGATTGTATGTCAAAAGGGGAGGAAGGTGAAATTTTGATGTAAACCCTTAATTATCTGCCAGACTTGCTCTTTAGTTACTGTCAATTCGTCCGGCTTCACGGAGGTGCTTCTGGCCCTGTTGAGCTTTACTGGTGTTTGCTTTAGGGAGCGGAGTCCAGAGCATTTTGCATTGCTGTAGCCAAGTCAACCCTTCTCTCAGCGTGAAGCGCTTGCTAATTCCCACCCAGAGGCATCCGGCACTTGAATGTGCCTCCAGGATTTACTTGTTTTACTGCAGCAGCGCACCTCTTTCATTTTTGCACTTCGTCTACTCTTAGCATCGGCTGTGCAAGCAAGTGCTTGAAATGCCCCTTTACATCACTGGGACCTCACACCAAAGAGATTCTCTCGAAAAGAGGGCTTTCCCTTGCACACTGCGACTGCATGCACACCCCAGACTGGTGCTAAAGACGCACTCCTCACGCCTCCAGCAACAGGGAAGTCACTTGGACAAATGAGATAAAGACTCACGTACACAAAGAATCCCAAGATCCCTTCTTCTTTAAAAATCCTGCCAATGGAGCTCAGCACACCACTGTTGGGAGAGGAAAACGGTTATAACCGGGTCCAGTGTGCACCCCCCTCTGGCCAACCGCATCCTTGCACGGAGCCCGATATCTTCCAACACTGAAGACACGTCCCTACACCCCAGGAATAATTCTGTGAATGCCTCCTTTCGAGAGAACCCTACTGCTGGCTTGAGGCATGCATGTGTATGGAAGAAAGCCCTGCATTTTGCATCCATCCACTGGTTCACGTTACACACAGAGCTCCAGCCACACTAGATCAGAATTACAACTGATTTTAAACGCTGTGGATCGGGGTGTTCTAATCTGCTGTCCACTACAAGCACAAGAGACTTTTCTGAACCTTGTGCTGTAACTGTCAGAATTCGTCTTTTGCATGATCCCTCTAGCTTCTCAGGAGAGGAACCTGCCTTCCTCTCGGTGGAAAGCCATGCTAGAAATCTCTATTCAACTGCAGTAGCTGCCAGTGTGTTTCAGGAATGAAAACGTACCACTGGCACCACCTCGTTTTGGTTAAAACTTTTCAGCGGTGGCTCTTGAAGCACGCCAGAGTCTTAACACAGGTACTCCACCACTGCTGTGAGGACTGCAGTGCTATTGCCCCCACTGCAAACCGGGCAGCGGAGGCAGAGACGACACCGTTTGCCCAAGATAACAAAGGAAGCCTGTCATGGAGCTCAGACTTCAACCAGTGACTCCCAGCTCCTAGGCCACAAGCTCAACTACTGGACCATGCTAGGTGGCTCTTGCGGATCCCTCACAATGGAGCCAATGCGCAGCCATGGCCCTGGAGGAACTGGCGTCTGGAAAGGCGTCCCCAGACAAGCCGTCGGAACGGTACATTATGACCAAGAGGCCCTGCAGCCCAATTCACTTCCTTGCGGTTTTCAACATCTAGCAGGACAGCGATCCAAAGAAAAAGCCCAAGAAACTGGAGTGCACTTGTGAATAGAGCTGGGAGGGTGAACCGGAACAGGGCACAGCCTTCCCTATCCCAGGCCTCCACTGCTGGCCACAAAGCCAGTCATCCTCTAGACGCAGCACAGGATTCAGTTAAGTTCCGGGCTCCACAATCACTGGGCGTGACCTGGAGCATTATTATTTCAGCTCCTCCGCCATGACTGAAGGAGGAAGAGACCCAAGACTCCTGACTCCAAGCCTTGTGCTTTAACCCTCCGACATATGCCAGAGCTGCTCACCTGTACTTGACTTCCCGGCCTACAAACTGGACCATGCAGCGCACTGAGATCACTGGAAGAAGAGAAACAACGGGGTTGACAAGGAAGCAAATTAAGCACAATTATGTTTTTAACTGGACAGGCATCTGGCCTGGGAGGTGGAAATGACAGGGAGCCAAACCAGCCAGTGTCCCATCATCCTGAGAGCAGTGAAGGAGTCTTCGCCATGCACCCAACAGTAGCGATGGCTTCCGTGCCATTGCACAATAGCAGCAGCACTCTCGTGATCGGGACCCCCCTTGAGGAAGCAAATTAAGCACAATTATGTTTTTAACTGGACAGGCATCTGGCCTGGGAGGTGGAAATGACAGGGAGCCAAACCAGCCAGTGTCCCATCATCCTGAGAGCAGTGAAGGAGTCTTCGCCATGCACCCAACAGTAGCGATGGCTTCCGTGCCATTGCACAATAGCAGCAGCACTCTCGTGATCGGGACCCCCCTTGTCCTAGTAGATCGGGGAGGCAGGATTTCCCTTTATAAAAGCCATGCGGACAATCCAAGCCTCTGTTTCAACCAGTCTGCCTAATGCTGGAATCGTATGTGGGGAAACTCTCTCCTATGCTCCCCAACAAAGACCGATGCAAAGAATTCATTCAACTTCTCAGCAACAGCCTCATCTTTCTGGAATATCCCTCTAGCACCTTGACCATCCAAGCAGCTATTCGACAGGCTCCGGTCTTGGACGTACTTAAAACAATATTTTGCTGTTAGTTTTTCTGTCTTACTAGTTGCTTTTCAAATTCTTGTTTGGTCTGCCTGATTATACGTAAAATGCCTAGCACAAGCTACCAAGCCAGCTGTAAGAGACAGCTTCATCTCCAAGCTCTGAATGTCCCATCACTAGGATGTTGGCTATTATCCTTCTCTAGGGTTAGTTTGTAATCCATGCTCTTCTAATAGGGCTCGATGCTAGGAATCACAAGCATCAATGGGCTTAAATTGCGGCAAGGGTGGTTTAGATTGAACATTAAGGAAAAACTACCTGTCAGGGTGGTTAAGCACTGGAACAAATTGCCTAGGGAGGTTGTGCAATCTGTCACTGGAGGTTTTTAAGAGCAGGTTAGACGAACACCTGTCAGGGATGCTCTAGATTATTCTCTGTCCTGCCTTGAATACAGGGGCTGGATGAGTTGACCACTTGAGGTGCTTTCCAGTCCTACAATTCTCTAGTTCTAGAGAGGATTTTTATCAAACGAAAACACTGAAGTCAGGGACAGGAACAGGCTATCCAGCATGCCCCAGGGCCGGCAAGCACTGAGAGACCAGGACTCACCGTGCAAGGGGTGCGAGATAACCCGGGACATGCACTGCGTCAGCATCTCATGAGAGGTCTGGAAAAAAAAAAACACATTAAAAGCTGCAAAGCTGTGTTGCAAGGAGTTCACCGGAACTGACTCTACTGACTCTGGCTACAAAAGATCAGCTCCCACCAACAACCAGTGGTTCAGAGGGCTCAATAACTGGCTTCTCACCCAGCATGCCCATTTTAATATTGATGAATGATACAGTGTGTTCTGGAGCCAGTGGAGTGACCCCAAAAGAGGGTGCTGAAGAGAAGTCCCTTGTGGTTACCCCAAGTGCATTAGTGCATTGCCCAGAATATGCCACGTCTGGCTGGTTCCTACCTAGGCTGCCTCTGAGGTGCTGTCATTCCTGCCCTACTTCTGCATCTGTCACTGCTTTCATTCCCTGGTTTCCTGAATATTGAGGGCCTGGAAGCTGGTGAACAACTGGCACCTGCCTCCTTCCCCTTCCCTTTTATTAAAGCTCAGGTTAATGACTCCACAGGGGTCTGTTTTGGGGCCGGTTCTGTTCAATATCTTCATCAACGATTTGGAGGACAGCAGAGAGGATATTTATGAAATTTGCAGATGATACCAAGCTGGGAGGGGTTGTGAGTGGTTTGGAGGTCAGAATTCAAAATGATCTGGACAAACTGGAGACATGGTCTGAGCTAACCAGATGATTTTAATAAGGACAAATCCAAAGTGCTCCACTCAGGAAGGAACAATCCATCTCACACATTCATACAGAATCGGAAGCGACTGTCTAGGCAGGAGTACTGCATAAAGTGATCTGGGGGTCCGAGTGGACCACAAGCTAAATAGGAGTCAGCAGCGTGATGCTGTTGCAAAAAAAGCAAACATCCTTCTGGGCTGCATTAACAGGAGTGTTGTGAGCAAGACACGAGGAGTCATTCTTCCACTCTACTCTGCGCTGGTTAGGCCTCAGTTGGAGAATTGTGTCCAGTTCTGGACACCGCATTTCAAGAAAGATCGGGAGAAATTGGAGAAGGTCCAGAGAAGAGCAACAAGAATGATTAAAGGCCTTGAAAACATGACCTATGAGGGAAGACTGAAATAAGTGGGCTTGTTTAGTTTAGGAATGAGAAGACTGAGAAGGGGACATAATAGCGGTTTTCAGGAATCTAAAAGGGTGTCACAAGGAGGAGGGAGACAAATTGTTCTCCTTGGCCTCTGATGATAGGACAAGAAGCAATGGGCTTAAACTGCAGCAAGGGAGGTTTAGGTTGGACATTAGAAAAAACGTCATGCCTGTCAGGGTGGTTAAACACTGGAATAAGTTGCCTAGGGAGGTTGTGGAATCTCCACCTCTGGAGATATTTAAGAGAAGGTTGGACAGACACCTGTCAGGGATGATCTAGACCACGCATGTCAAACTGGTGTTTGGCGGGTCGCATGCGGCCTGATTGAAATTTTTTGCGGCCTGCCAGAACATCTTTATAAAAGAATGAAGTGCGGCCCGCTGGCAGCTCGGAGCACATGGCTGAGTGCCTGCTCACAGCTGACCAGGACGCTCTGTGCTGCAGCAACTGCTCACGCCGAGCCAGGCTGCTCTGCTCATGTGCTCACAGCTGGCCCGGCTGCTCTGCGCTGGGCTCTCCAGCAGGCGCTCACAACAGGCCTCAGTTGGAGAATTGTGTCCAGTTCTGGACACCGCATTTCAAGAAAGATCGGGAGAAATTGGAGAAGGTCCAGAGAAGAGCAACAAGAATGATTAAAGGCCTTGAAAACATGACCTATGAGGGAAGACTGAAATAAGTGGGCTTGTTTAGTTTAGGAATGAGAAGACTGAGAAGGGGACATAATAGCGGTTTTCAGGAATCTAAAAGGGTGTCACAAGGAGGAGGGAGACAAATTGTTCTCCTTGGCCTCTGATGATAGGACAAGAAGCAATGGGCTTAAACTGCAGCAAGGGAGGTTTAGGTTGGACATTAGAAAAAACGTCATGCCTGTCAGGGTGGTTAAACACTGGAATAAGTTGCCTAGGGAGGTTGTGGAATCTCCACCTCTGGAGATATTTAAGAGAAGGTTGGACAGACACCTGTCAGGGATGATCTAGACCACGCATGTCAAACTGGTGTTTGGCGGGTCGCATGCGGCCTGATTGAAATTTTTTGCGGCCTGCCAGAACATCTTTATAAAAGAATGAAGTGCGGCCCGCTGGCAGCTCGGAGCACATGGCTGAGTGCCTGCTCACAGCTGACCAGGACGCTCTGTGCTGCAGCAACTGCTCACGCCGAGCCAGGCTGCTCTGCTCATGTGCTCACAGCTGGCCCGGCTGCTCTGCGCTGGGCTCTCCAGCAGGCGCTCACAACTGGCCACTGTGCTCATGCTGCCCCAGCGCCTCAGGCGGCAACGTTGACTCCGAGACCCAGGTATTAGGTTGTGCAGCCTGACGTGCCTGATCAAGACAGTGCTTGGTCCTGCCGTGAGGGCAGGGGACTGGACTTGACCTCTCGAGGTCCCTTCCAGTTTTAGTAGTATATGATTCTTGACTCAAAGGACTTAAGCTACATTAAAATGCTCACAGTAAACTTCAACAATATTTGTATGAAAGGGTCCTAGTGAACCTCCTGATTCATGTCAATATCTTGGAACTCACTATGTATTTTTCCGAGCAATTACACCCATAGCAGCTGTGCCTGCTTTGCCCCAGTGTTTTCAGCCTCGAGGGTATTGAGCTCCATTGTGAGCTCTTTCGATTATTCATTAGCATGCAATATTCATACACAGATTGCTCTCACAGCCTGCATTTGATAAAGGTTTAATGAGGAGAAAACGTTTCTAACCTCTTTCATCACTTTTCTGAGGGAAGTCTTCACATCATCCTTGTTAGAAACATGCTCCATGTCCTCCACAGGAAAGACCTGGGGTGAGCGGAGGAAAACAAATAAATGAAATTCACAGTAACTGAAGACAAATGTGAACAGTGACTGATCTGTGCTCACGCTGACAGTGAAACCAACATCTCAGTCAAATTCAGACTGTCCCCATACGATAAGACTAACAGGCCTGATGAGGAACTTCAAGGTTACTGAGGTCAGCCCTTCAGACAGACATCATTGATCCTTTGTGACAGACAAGTTCCCACAAGCTAAAAATGGAACATGCACTTTTCTAAAGCAACTTGGTCATAACTTAATAAGTTGCTCTCAAATGATGGTCCAGAAGAATTGTCAGCATTGATGGCTTTAAGGACCATTTGCAGTGGTCCCTAGAGCCCATGGACAGAGAACACGGGGAGTGGGATGTGCTTGAGACCCTCTTCTCACAAAATTATCCCCCTAACCAACAGGTAAAGAATCACCAAGTGTGGGCACATCCAGAGAGGATTCCCTAGAGGCTGAAACTCCATCTTGCTTCTAAGCAATTTTCAGAGCTGACTAGAACACACTGGTTCTCAGCAAAGCTCGTGCAAAGAGGAGGCTGTAGCAATAATCACATGTACATGCCATTCAGTTCTGTTCCACAACCACTGTAAGATCAGGCAACAGTCGATCCAGGAGGTCCCTTAATAAAAGCAAACTTGTTCTTTTACCTTCTTTACAGTGCCCCGGGTGACGGTGGATAAAGTGCTGGAGAGGATTCGAGGAGCTAGGCCGCGGAAGAGGCCTGTTTTCCCATCCACTGCCACAATGTGTTTAGCTAGGTAAGAAAACATCACACTGGTCACAAGTTATCCTCTTAGCAGGGAATGGAACGACAGCTTTGCAGAGTCTCCAACTTCCTGTCTAAACAGCACCTGGATTCAAGCATGTTAAAACATCTGGACATCATGCAGAACCCCTCGAGTGATGATTTATCACAAACGCCCACCGATATTTCAGGGGAGATGGAAACAACTGCTTCTAGGGTTGCTGGGAGAGATGGAGCTGATGTCTTGGACTAATAAAGCTCTTGATTATGTTCTGCCTAAGTAAGAGAGTTAAGGCAATTTAACTGGATTAAGACAATGGGTAAAGAATCCCTTATCCATTGCACAAGATTTCTATCTCCTTCCAGCTCAAGGGGGATAGTTAGGGAGGGTGGATCCCTGGGGTGCTATCAAGGAAGAGAGAAGACCCAGCTTCAATTCATCACTTTGCCACAGACTACTTACATGGCCTTGGGCATGTCATTTAGTATGTGCCTCAGTTTCTCAGCAATATATTGTAGATAATACTACTTCCCTCTCTCACAAGAGTGTTGTGAAGATAAATATATTCAAACTTGTAAGTTGCCCAGACCCTACAGTAATGGGGGGCTAAATAATCTAACAGATTTCAAGAACAATAATTTATTCAGTTTTGAGATCTTTGAATAAGGTGCTGTATAAAACTTCAGGCATTACATAAAACAGCTGACTGTTTTCCTCTAGGGAAAGCAGAGAAACAAGCACATCAGTCATCCCTGGTGTAAATAGCATTAATTTCAGTGGAATTACAGCTGAGGTGAATTTGATCTGCTGAGCATAAAACAGACTGTTCCCGCCTACCCACTCTTTGCTTTCTACAAGGCTGTTTGTTCCCTAGTGGCACATTGCATGGATTCCTTCAATCACAAGACCCCAATCACTACCAACACTGTGAAAACAGACCATCTGACAACAAGGCGAGAGACTATAAAACTCTGCTTAACACAGCTCCAGAGCCGCCATAAAAACAGGTTTGCAATTTACTGGTTGATCGCAGCTGCATTTTGTACCCCTTCCCCCACCAATTAATGGATATTTCAAGGCAATTGCAGGATCCAATCCATTTAATCCTTTTCATTTGAAAAGAGCTTTACATGGGCACTTGTCACTCCCTGTCTCTCAAGTACTAGGAGTATTTCTCACAGGAGCCAAGCAATGCATCTTAGGCCAGAGAAATTCACTACCAGCCCTGGGATCAGGGGTAGGGATGTAGATAGCCATTTACAAAGTTAACTGGTTAAAAAATATGATGGCAATCGTTCAATCGGTTAACTGCACCGTAGGGGGCCTGCTCTGGCCAGCCAGGCCTGCCGCACTGCATCAGGAGGGAGGCTGTTCCTTCTGCTGCCCGCTGGTGACGTGAATATGGAGTAATCATGCCAGTAAGGCGAATGCTTACCAGGTAACCGGTTAACCTTTTACATCTCTAATCAGGAGCCATGGGTTTATGCCTCCATCTCTCTCTCGAATCAAAACCGAACAACTCTAAAATGTACCCTGCTGCAGCAGCACTGATTTCACTGGAATTACAGCGGAGGAGAAAGATCATTTCTCTTTGGAAGAGAAATTCAAGTGTATTTTTCTTCCAAACATCTCCCCCTCCCCTTGCTTATTTACTCCATTTTTGCATATTTCTGTCCCTTTAAGGTCCAATCTACACTACAAATAAGTACGTGAGGCCATCAAGTTACAACACAGCCATATTTTGTAGCAGAGAGGAGTTGAACTCTCCCTTAAACCAGGATAAATCCTTCATTGCAAAGTTTTAGCTCAGCTATAAGCCACATTTATATTCCCCACTCACAACAAAACAAAACAGTGTGGTAAGTGGCCCAGCAAATAGCAGTGTTAGGTGACATGGTTAAATGTGCCAAGTAGACCTTAATATAAAGCCATCCCTAGAACAGTCTCAACCCCAGCTTGTTAGTAAAATGACAAACATCTAATAGTTTAGTGAAGCTGTGGCATGCTTCAGGGTTAGCTCTTCCCAACAACTAGCTTTCTCCTCCTTGCAGCAAATGCTGCAGACATCAACCAAAACCTTGGACTAAAATACTGAGCCAGCAATCAGCCAAAACATTTCGGGTCCCATCTCTGCTTGCAGTTGAATTCAACGGTATCATTTGCAAGAACCAGTGTGCTCAATGTTGCCAAAGTGCGAGAGGCAGAAGCCTAGGGTATGCTCCAGAAGCAAGGCAGAATTGTATCGGGATATTACTGTTGTAACTGGGATGGAGAACAGTCACATTAGCGGATTTAAATAGACCCTAAATGGGCAGTTCTCACACCTTCCTCTTTAGAATATGATCTCAAGCTATTACTAAGTATACTCACCATATGTGAAAAAGCCAGGTAGGTACAATACTTTTCTCCCCAGCACGTTTCTCCCAATGGTTGGAGGTAGAGGTTCATGCCCGACCTTCAAAAGAAACACCCCTTAGCTGCTATCCGCTTCTCACAAGGACTCTCCGAAACCAACGGATCACAAGACCGTCATCACTTGTATCATGTTATAGCAGGACTATATCCCGTGTGTCTCCCATCTATACCAAGCTCAGTGTAATGATACCACTCCTCCTCTGCATACACAAACTCCTTCCTCAAGGACAACCCAATGCTTAAAGAAACTCATCACCTTTTCTCAAACAACCCCATGAATGAAAGTACCCTGGCAAGCCAAGACACCAGTAGGACTGTTACAAACATTCTTGGCAAGTCTCATTCATGGCCTGCTCAGGGCTGCCCCTCTCCACCGGGCCCTGGGCCAGAACCAGGAGCAAGTGGATGGGAGGGGACCATGGCTGGAAGGGCCAGTAGGGATTGGAAAAAGGACACTGGGCTGGCCAATGATGAAAAGGGCTCAGGTAGCAGAGTACGCTCACCTTGGCAGCATACGGGACACCCCGAGCCTCTGAGGTGCACAGAAGGACCCACCAGGAAGCACAAGACCCACAGGCCTTAGCCCAGACTTACCACAATATATATTGCAACCCAGAGCCCCATGCTCCTGAACCCTCCCCACGCCCAGCACCCTGCAAAGAGCCCCGAACAGATCCCTGCACCAGCGTCTCCCTGGATCCCCTGCCCAGCCCTGCGGGACACCCCGAGCCTCTGAGGTGCACAGAAGGACCCACCAGGAAGCACAAGACCCACAGGCCTTAGCCCAGACTTACCACAATATATATTGCAACCCAGAGCCCCATGCTCCTGAACCCTCCCCACGCCCAGCACCCTGCAAAGAGCCCCGAACAGATCCCTGCACCAGCGTCTCCCTGGATCCCCTGCCCAGCCCTGCGGG